ATTCACTATAACTGTCCAAGTGTTTCATAAACATTTACTACGATGAAGTAACTCAAGTCAAGTGCTCACTATCCAGGAGCGATGGCGATTCGAATCGATTCCTAACTAGCTGGTGATTTATTCCTTACACAAACCTCACTCACCCGCTAAAGTGAGATATTGATCACCGAGTTAACTTTCTAGGTATCTCGAGTTTGTCAGGAACCATATGTACCCGGGGGCCAACCGACTGCACTTTGGTCTTATCATCTCGCCCCCGTGTCCTACCACACACCGCTTCCCAAGACACGGTCGTTGCATGGGCAATCTACTCGGCCCAAAAAATCTCCTAGCTTCGTGGTCGGAAGGTACTTTATCCGGCCAGCTAAATGTAAGGCATGCGTTCAACATGACTCGAGACCCAACAACGGTCGGTCCTTAATCGACACAGACGGAAACACTACAGTCCCAAAACTCTGCAAGTCTCCGTCCGGTCTCAACTTCATTTAACACTTAGTTATACCATGACTTTATAGTCATCCAAGTAGATCCAGGTAACCACCTATAGCTCGCAGTGGATGAGAAATCACCCGACTTCTACCGGTCTAAGCCACTAAACATTGACCTCGATCATGCGGATACCGTGGTAACAAGGATATAGTATAACAAAGGTAAACAAGGTATAATGCGTAACGGTTGCAAACAACTCCTGAACGTAATGCATCAAATAAAGTAAAGCATTGAATTAATAATTGCAAAGCGGGAGAAAATGCTCGGGGCTTGCCTCTCTCGAAGGAGCTCGGGACGGTGATCGGGGCACTCAGGAAGTTCCTCAACAACCTCCTCCTCGTAAAACCACGGCACTTCTGCTTGGTGCGCACTCGAATCGCTTCCTCGGGCTCCTCGGGTATGATGACTGGGTTCTCGGTTTGCGATCCTGTGTATGATGCAATGTGCGTAAGTGCTTATGCAATCGGTGCATCGGATGAGATGAATACAATGGATATGTTTGAATGCAAGGTAGTCAACATCATCCAAGAAAATATACTACAAGCACATGTCATCTACTGCATTCTCTTCTACTACTAATATGTTAAGTCAACACATCTTATTAAATGCTTCAAAGATACACCAAAGCTAACATTATTAACTAACTTGCATTAAAGAGGATTATTTTATTTCATTTTAAACTAGGGCTACAACAGCAACCTATATTTTTGGTACTTATAAAAATCTAAGAAAATTACAGTAGCATAGTACTACTCTAAGTGGACTACCATAAAATTTTCATGGCGTTTGGATAAGTAAAATAGTCTACACAAAAATGACAAGGCATGGCAGGATTATGAACATAAAAATACTTTGAACTGTGAAAAGTGTCAAACAACAGAGTTAGTATTTTTTCTAGGTTCTTCATAGCATACAATGACTGTACAAAAATTATCACATGCATGTTTTATACAAAGTTTGCTCTCTAACTAAAATAACAAAAATTAGCCATTAAAGGTACTTGAACTACACCTCAAAATTTTCCCACAGCACATGCATGAAACATATTTTTCCTAAGAAGTACATGACATAAGAAGATTAACAAACTTGGAATCATATTTTTCTGAAGCCTATAGATTTTTCTATATATTTTTCAAGTTATCAGCAATATACATGATTAAATAAAATTCTACAAACAAAGTATCTCAAAAATGACATGCAATAATTTTTCCAAGTAGATCTGGTGATAAGGATCCTATCAAAATTTATTCCAACATATTTGGAGCTAAAAGGAGTACACAAACATTTTCTAAAGCATTTAAATGTAAATCGAAAATCATTTCTTAAACCCTTTTCAAAATCGGTGACAAACTGCTTTGGGTGCACCGGTGTTTGTACACCCAGAGTGATCGCCACGCTGGGACCAGCGGTCAAGCCGGACCCATGCGTTAGTTGGAGCCGCAGCTCAGGAGTTGATTGACTTTAGGCTCTCGCCGGCGACGGGCGAGGTCCCCGGTGAAACGGAGGGCACCAACGTGCTCCCCATGACAAACCGCGTCGGATAGAGGTGAATAGGGAGGGGCTGTGCATGGGAGAGAGGCTCACGACGGCAATGGCAATAAGCGGGCGGCGCAGCGGTAGTCGCCGATGGATTGTCTCCGCCACAGTATATGAAAAGGAGGCGCCGGGAGACTCATCGTCATAGTGCGGTGCTTTGCGTGTGAAGGAAAGGTGGGAAGAGAAGCGGGGAGGGGGAGTCCACGGAGCGAAGCTCACCAGTGAGCTCGGCCGTGCTCTAGCGAGCAATTCCCAAGGAAGGGAGGCTTACTACGGCGAAGTAAGCGCGAGCACGGGTCTGTGAGGTGAAAGGCGAAGCTTCAGGCGAGATGGAGTGGTCGCGGCGAAAGTGTGGTGGACTGGACGAGCCAAATCCGCGAGGGAGCTGGTGTGGCCGAGGCGGGTGCGTGACGTCTGTTGGTCTTTGTCGAGCGAGAGGCGAAGGAGGAGCAGGAAATGCGATGTCGGGCGAAGCTCTGCGGGAGCATAAGCCGTGGCCACAGCAGTGCAGGGGCTGCCATGGCGCAGCGTGGACGCGGAGTCGAGCCGCCAACGACAGGTGGTGCCCCTGGCGGGCAAGCTCGACGCTGTCGGGGGCGGCGCAAGCGCGATGGCGTGTGCCTGGGAGAAGGATCCAACAAGACGGAGTCAGGCCGGGCCGCTTTGTCTTGGTGGGAAAGCAGGCGGTGCCTTAAGAAAGAGGAAATGGAAAATTTTTATTTTATTTTTAAGGAAATTTCAAAAAGCAGTTTTCAAATACCCTTTTGAGCAAGAAAATGACTTCTTTTTAAAATGGACCAAAAATAAAAATTGCTTAGAACTCAATCCTCTACAACTTTGCTTTTATGACCAAAGCCAAATTCTTTCTAGATTTTGAATTGTAAAATCAAAGTCCATGTTTAACTCAAAACCCTAATTTTCGGGAAGTTACTTTGGAAGCAAAATTTTTAATTAATTTTAATACAAACCTTGCTCCAAAAATTGAACTACATAATCCTAGATGATTTACAATAGTAGCCAAACATGTTTTACTAATCCTAGCAAGCAAAATCAGGGCAAAATAATTCTAACAAAGGTATGCAACATTCGGGTTTCACAACATGTTTTAATTGTTTCGAAGCAGTGTTTCAATTGTTATTTACATGATTAGGCATGTATGATTAGGATGCTTGATGATGCATGATATGTATGATTTGCAGTGACTAAATGCAGGCATAACACCGGGGTGTTACACCCGCCACTGCACCTTGCCACGCATGCCAAAGCAGTTCTATGACGATCAATTTTTCGTCATAGATTTATCCAATTCTATGACGAATTTCTAGATTCGTCATGGAAGTTTAAGTATGACATGACTTCTATGACGAACCGTTTTTTTGTCCTAAATTCGTCATAAAACTGAAATTATGATGAATTTGGTTCCTTCAGTGACGAAAACTGATAGTTATGGAAGTTTTAGATGTCATTATCATAGTTTAGATTGCTTTTGGTACTATTCAAATCACACAATATATATGTATCATAGAATAGTGATTCGTTGTGCAAATAGATTTTGTGAAATGTATCCTTGAAGTGTATTTAACAACACCTGATTCTTATGTACCATATCATTTCGTGCAATGCATTTATTCATTACCTCTAAAGAATAAGAGATCTACCATACCGTCACAGCCAGCCAAATAGATTTTCTTATAAAAAAGCTGGCCATGCAATCCAGAGGATACGCATGCTGTGCTCGTCCCTCTGCTCCCATCCACGATTGGTGGCTCACCATATTCGCATGTGGAAAATACCAACTCACTCTAGTATCGATGTTGAATTAGATGTATCGTGCACCAGATCAACACTTTCTTATGTACTTTCTCTGTGCCAAAAAAAGAATGTGTTTATGAGATTTGTGTCGGTCAAATTAGCTTAAAATTTAACTAAATTTATAATGAATAGTATTAATATTTATGTCTTTAACTAGATGTCATACTTAACCTAATAATATTCATTTTATTTTATTTTATAAATATTATTACTTTTTATATAACGTTGACCAAATTCTAAAACATTTAATTTCTCGAAAAAACAAGAATTGTAATTTTTTAGATGGAGGAAGCACCAGTGCCCCCGATGAAAAAGTTAGAAATGAGATTGTGCCGATAAGTATGCACCGTGCCTTGCTCCTCGCCCATCCGATGTAGCGACCCACATCATTTTCACGTGTAAAAAAGCATGAATACTAGGTAGGCTAAAAAGATCAATAACCATACAAATGACATGTAGGTCCAACACGAGCAATTGCAACCCTTAACCACGACAATGTCCTATGGCCTATGGCACCGTGAGTTCTCACTGACAACCGGGCCTTTTTTTTTTAGGAGGCGGGCTACGAACCCGGCGGTTACACAAACCTGTGACCCTGAATTGTAGGTTTGCCCTCCTAAATCAACCCGGGTCTTGTTTAGATGCCATCCAAATTCTAAGTTTTTTCACTCTCTCTATCACATCAATTTTTAGCCGTTTGCATGGAGTATTAAATGTAGGTAAAAAAAAACTAATTACACAGTTTAATTGGAAATCACGAGATGAATCTTTTGAGCCTAGTTGGTCAACGATTGGATAATATTTAATAAATAAGACGAAAGTGGTACTATTTATCGAGTTGAAAAAATTTGCAAAATGAACCAGGCCCCGAGGGATTACCCGTTTTTACCACTTGGCCCTGTGGCCCTGGCCCTGGCCCTGCCCCGGGCCAAGAAATATTTCCGTATTTGCCCTCGCCAGCCGAACAAGAGGCGGGACAAGCGCCCACTATTAGCACCGGCGTTTTCGGGTCTGGGCCATAATCCCACGGATTCCGTATTCTAAACCATTTCTTTCGCTTTCCCCTCCTTCGCCCTCCATCCTCCACCCACCATTTCTCCTCCCTCCTCTTCGCTCCCTTCGGGTCTACTGCCTCGCCCTCCCCCCTCTCCTCGGCTGCCCCCATGAACCTGTGGACGGACGACAACGCCTCCATGATGGAGGCCTTCATGGCCTCCGCCGACCTCCCCACCTTCCCCTGGGGGGCGACGGCCGGCGGCGGCAACTCGTCGGCCGCCGCGGCGCCGCCGCCGCCGCCGCAGCAGGTGCCGGCGGCGGCGGCGATGGCGCCGGGGTTCAACCAGGACACGCTGCAGCAGCGGCTGCAGGCCATGATAGAGGGGTCCAGGGAGACCTGGACCTACGCCATCTTCTGGCAGTCCTCCCTGGACGCGGCCACCGGCGCCTCGCTGCTCGGCTGGGGTGACGGCTACTACAAGGGCTGCGACGACGACAAGCGCAAGCAGAGGCCGCTCACGCCCGCCGCCCAGGCCGAGCAGGAGCACCGCAAACGCGTGCTCCGCGAGCTCAACTCCCTCATCTCCGGCGCCGCGCCCGCGCCCGACGAGGCCGTCGAGGAGGAGGTCACCGACACCGAGTGGTTCTTCCTCGTTTCCATGACGCAGTCGTTTCTCAACGGGTCCGGACTCCCCGGGCAGGCGCTCTTCGCCGGGCAGCCCACCTGGATCGCCTCTGGCCTCTCCTCCGCGCCGTGCGAGCGCGCGCGCCAGGCCTACAACTTCGGCCTCCGCACCATGGTCTGCTTCCCCGTCGGCACCGGGGTGCTCGAGCTCGGCTCCACCGACGTCGTGTTCCAGACCGCCGAGAGCATGGCCAAGATCCGCTCGCTCTTCGGGGGCGGAGCAGGGGGTGGCTCGTGGCCGCCCCTGCAGCCTCAGCCGCCGTCGCAGCAGCAGCCCGCCGCCGGAGCCGACCAGGCGGAGACGGACCCCTCCGTGCTATGGCTCGCCGACGCGCCGGTCATGGACATCAAGGATTCCTTGTCGCACCCGTCGGCCGAGATCTCCGTCTCCAAGCCGCCGCCGCCGCCTCCGCCACAGATCCATTTTGAGAACGCGAGCACGAGCACTCTTACGGAGAACCCCAGCCCATCCGTGCACGCGCCGCCACCCCAGCCGGCGCCGGCCGCTGCACCGCAGCGGCAGCACCAGCACCAGAATCAGGCTCACCAGGGCCCGTTCCGCCGGGAGCTCAATTTCTCCGACTTCGCTTCCACCAACCCTTCTTCCCTGGCGGCGACCCCGCCGTTCTTCAAGCCCGAGTCCGGCGAGATCCTCAGCTTCGGCGCCGACAGCAACGCCAGGAGGAACCCGTCGCCGGCGCCTCCCGCCGCCACCGCCAGCCTCACCACCGCTCCCGGGAGCCTCTTCTCGCAGCACACGGCGACCATGACACAGGCCGCCGCGGCGAACGACGCGAAGAACAACAATAAGCGTTCAATGGAGGCCACCTCCCGGGCGAGCAACACCAACCACCACCCGGCGGCGACGGCGAACGAGGGCATGCTGTCCTTCTCGTCGGCGCCTACTACGCGGCCGTCGACGGGCACGGGCGCGCCGGCCAAGTCGGAGTCCGACCACTCGGACCTGGATGCGTCTGTGCGCGAGGTGGAGAGCAGCCGCGTCGTGGCGCCGCCACCGGAGGCGGAGAAGCGGCCGCGAAAGCGCGGGCGGAAGCCGGCGAACGGGCGCGAGGAGCCGCTGAACCACGTGGAGGCGGAGCGGCAGCGGCGAGAGAAGCTGAACCAGCGCTTCTACGCGCTGCGCGCCGTGGTGCCCAACGTGTCCAAGATGGACAAGGCGTCGTTGCTCGGCGACGCCATCTCCTACATCAACGAGCTCCGCGGCAAGCTGACGTCGCTGGGGTCCGATAAGGACACGCTGCAGGCACAGATCGAGGCGCTCAAGAAGGAGCGCGACGCGCGGCCACCCCCGCACGCCGCTGGGCTCGGTGGACACGACGGCGGGCCGCGCTGCCACGCGGTGGAGATCGACGCCAAGATCCTGGGTCTGGAGGCCATGATCCGCGTGCAGTGCCACAAGCGCAACCACCCGTCGGCGCGGCTGATGACGGCGCTCCGCGAGCTGGACCTGGACGTCTACCACGCCAGCGTCTCCGTCGTCAAGGACCTCATGATCCAGCAGGTCGCGGTGAAGATGGCCAGCCGCATATACTCGCAGGACCAGCTCAACGCCACGCTCTACAGCCGCCTCGCGGAGCCCGGGTCTGCCATGGGCAGGTAATCAAGGAGAGCTCAGCTCGCCTGTGGCTGCCGGATAGGGACGATACTGATACTGCTATTTACCACCGGACTGTCATCGTCGTCACCATGGTTACAACACGATAGCCAGAGATTCAGGAGGGAGACGACGATGATGCTGGTGCTGTTGTTGTAAACGTTAGAAGGAAGGATGAATGATGATAGCTTCTGCAGTTCTGCTGCTGTTCATCATCTTGTTGTGTTTTTGCCAGTAGCGTGTTAATTAGCAGGATTAAGCAACCACCAAGCGTCCACCCGTTGCTTAACTAAGTACCCTGTTGTTATGAGCTGTGATGATGGATCGACTGATGTTAGCGTTGGTTGAATCCAAAACTGTATATAGGATGGATCAAACGTCGTCGCACCGGGTGGAGGTGGACGATGCCCTGATCCTGATGTATGTATTTTACAGCAGGATTTCGCTTGCAATGGAGTCGGTTTTTTGATCTCATAATAACAACAATACATATGGTCTTTGGTTGGTTTACCATTGGTTCTTGTTCATTCAAAAGCTTGAGGGGTCGATGTCGTTGTATCTTGACTGATCGATCGATGGATCTTGCTGTCTTTATTGGTCGTGTTCCTATTCCCCATTGATGAGCTGAAAGTTGTGGGTGTGTCCTATCACCTGTGAGGGCGTGCGAGACCGTTTGGCTGATAAGCCATGGCTATCGTTGGCTGATTTGTTATGAGAGAAAAATACTGTTCATTGGATAAAAAAGTACGGCTTATAAGCCAAGTGAACGGGACGTTTAACATGAGCCACAGTAGGATTTGCACATGACGTGATGGAGACAGCGTAGAAGCAGGGGCATGTGAGTTGGGTGTAGTTGGGTAAACTTCGCCATCAAGCACGTGCAAGCACTAGGCATGAAGCGAGTTAGGCAAGTGAAGGAGAAGCAACTTTTCCCTCCTATACAAAAAAGGGGAGGACCAACTTACTTGCTCCTGAGTTTGCAGGAATTTCACATGGAATACCTGCTCCCGCATGAATTGATATAAAATATAAAATATATAATAAATCCGGTACTTCTGGCCTTGACTTGCACAAACACGATTATCCAGTGACATGCCAACCACTGTATAATGGCTATGAGTTCTTTTTTTCGGTAGCGATGGATGAGGAAAGGGCACATAGCAGCACATGCGTCTGTATAAATCTTTTTTTTTTAAAAAAAGTGGTACTAATAGTTTTCTTTTGGGATGTTTTGAACTCCCTTTGAGTCGGCTAGACATGTTTTGTGGAGGGGACAAGAGTGGCGTGCGGCTTTGCTTATCGCGCATGTGACTTTAACTAACACCAGCCCGGGCCGGCCATCACTGGCTGAAAAAAGAGCTTTGCTGTATGCTTGCCTCCCCTGTCCGTCTCAATCTCATCCAATATCCATTGCCGCGCACTGCAAGGATAAGAGCTGGCTCCATTTTTGCTTACAAGCATCGGCGTGTGCTTCATCTCTGATCATTTATCTTATTTGTAATACGGTAAGCAAGATAAAAAGTAAGGATGGATAGAAAATTTGGGCAGTGAATTGAGGATAAGAGATGTGGAGAGTTGTTTGGTGTCCACATGCCTTTTGCTCTATCTGTTTTGTTTAAGTAATCCAAGAAATAATACAAAAATATGAATAAGTCCAGCGCATGTGACTCAATTTGGATTCCACGCTATTTTAAATAAAACTAACATGCATCGACAGCGACATACTCCAAAGAAGATCGCGATGAAATATGATCATCTGAGCGAAGAGACACAACGAGCACCAGTGGTCTAGTGGTAGAATAGTACCCTGCCACGGTACAGACCCGGGTTCGATTCCCGGCTGGTGCACATGGTTAATTTTTTAATGTGTTTTGCTTTGTTACTTGCAAACAAGGTGTGAAGCAAACAACTTTATTATTACAAATAAAATAGCAAACCCTAGACAAAAGTCAGGATAGATGAAGCCTCACTCGGTCATAAACGGCAGTATACCACTGTAAAATGTTAACTGGCGCCACATAATGCTGATCAAACAATGACAAAAAAAAAGCATCCATTTCTCTCGTCCCAAGAAAGTCGTGTGATCCGAACAAGGGAGCGCACCCACCCAACAATCAGCCTGTTCGCTCGTTAGTTTTAGCCAGTACAGTATTTTTCTCTCACAACAAACTAGCACCAGTCGGGCTTATCAGCCCAAAAACCAACCAGCGAACAAGCTGAATGACTCGATACAAGTTTCAGCTCGAGTATTCTATGGACATCTATGTTACAAAAAAGATCATATGATGCGTACAAGAAACAAACGCAAAACCGACCCCGACCCCGACCCCTATGTAATGGAAAACTGTACAATGCTATGTACTGAAATGCAGCCACTGATCAGCTGCTCATTGGTGGGGAATGGAGGCACGAGCTGTATTTGGTGGCAGTAACAAGCCCACTCAATGTGGCCTCACTCTACAAATCGTTACCATGGTGCCTTCATGGTCATACTACAACGAGCTGAGATTAACGTGTTTCGTTTTCCACTATGAATGCTGATAAGAATGCCGTCCACTAGGGTTTGCAGGAGCTGATGGTGGAGAGGGAGAAGAAGATGGCAGCCGGACCAATGAAGGTTGAGGTGGAGGTGCGGTGAGGGCATAAGTGAGTCTTGATGATGAGCTCTCAATGAGCCCAGCAACTCCAGCAGCAGAAGATTGTGCATTGGATGGAAGGAAAAGGTCGTGCTTCTGGTCCTTGTAAGCACTCCATACCTACATAAAAGGATTTTTTTTTTCAGTCCAGCATTTGTTTGTCATTTTCTGTTTGGTGAATCACTTGTCATGATCACAAATGTAGTTTCCCAATTTCATAGGGTTCTGTAACTTTTATTGCAGTGGGGAGTTACTTACATCAGAGGAATTCAGGACTTCACGAACTCTAGCACAGTGTGCACCTTCGGTTGCAAAAGCATGAAGCACCTGTGCAAATCAAACAAAAAAAAGGTAACTAAGGAATGAACAGAATAACAAATAAGACGTCAACAAAGAAACAATCCCTGGAGACTGATGAGGCCATCCAAGTATGCATAACAAGAATTAAGTGCATCGACAAAAAAAAAAAAAAAAAAAAAAAAAAACAGCACAAACAAACAGTTAGAGCCCGTTTGGTAGAGCTCAGTTCTAGTTCTAGCCAAAACAGCTTCAGCAGTGACTTTTTTTATGAAGCAGCTATGTGTTGGCTCCGAGACGGTGAGACCTGCTGCTGCCTGTCGAGCGGGAGTCGAAAGGCAGGTGGTGGCTGCAGTGCAGGAATACACAGGAAAGAGAGGGGTGGAACGGTAATAAAGGAAACCCTGTTGGGCCAAAAAAATTAATGATCCTAATGGGCCAACAGCCAGATGCCAGCTCATGATGAAAATGAAATCCGCCTGTTAGACGTCCATGCCCAAATCATCCAATTAGTCATAATTAGTCGATGATTAATCAGATGACTTGGTTTCTAGCCACTCTAGTTGAATCAGTGGGCATAATCATTGCTGGGGGACCGATAAGGCCGACTAATAGCAAGTAGTCGGACGACTTAATAACACTGATCAAATCTCATGTGAAGGTCACCCCTTAAAAATAAGATAAATTTAGGGTATAATGGAATTGAACTAAAAAAACTTAATGGCATCCCAAAGAAAGAAAGAAGCCAACAGTTACCTCCACAGCCAAAACACGCCCAATTGAAGCCTCTGATTCATTCCACTTCATTTGACTACAGAGTCCCTGTCTTCCACCAGCACGCCAATCAAGAATACCAAGGAGCACTTCAACAAGACCAACCCTGTTTTGTTTCATTATGAAATACACAACCAAGATTAGTTGTTGAAAGATTTGATTCCATGAAAAACTAGTTTGGAGTGAACAATATTTTTCCCACATAGTGTAAGCTTTTGGACTAAATCTTGTGTTTGGTTTGTTTAAAGGTTCAGAAAATGTAACATATTGATTTATTTAAAGAAAGACGTATTACCATTTTCCATGTTTAATAAATATAACAAAAAAATCAATAAAATGGATTGCTTAAGTAAATTTTATAAGCAAGCAAAAACAGGCATGACCTGAGATACTACAGAATACTTGAATTTGCATATTAGTAGACTCAAACAATTTCATCTCCTCAAGTAAATTCACAATTTTTGCACTGTTGACTTGACTTCATATGCATCTTTGTCTATATAATGCACAATCAGTTATAGCTGCCAAACTTCTTTTTCAGGAAAAAAATCTTGAAGTTTTACTAATGTTTTTTGACGGAAATTTAGCTTTTAAGGCAATTTCACAAATTCACATCATATGCACTAATAGCCATATAGGCATTCAGAGCAGCTTACTTCAGCCCCTGTGCAACAAGAGCATCACGAGCCCGATTACCAGCACCGACTACACGCTTTAATGTCTCCAATGCCAGTATACTTCCACCTTGCCATCCAATTGCTTTCACAAGCAGTGGTACGACCTGCATGGCAGTTCAAGCAAGAAAAGATTATGATGGGTCCCTTAGATGTCACTTGTGACAGAATGTGGTATGAAATTGGTCATACTGGATTTTTTTTAAAGTGAGAAATTGTGGTCTTAAGGATGTCAAGGAAAGCACACTTAAAAAAAGTAGTATTCTAACAGCACTAGGCAGCAGGGTGCCGCCTTGGGGCTTGGGCCTAGGTAGGCAAAACATGCCAAAATTTGGAAGCGGTAAATAGTGAGATTAACACTGCAGTCGGACTAATAAAAGATGCCAGAAATCGAATAATTACTATATGCATATAATCTAATCTGAACTACAGGTCTAGACAGAATAATTACTTTTCAAAGGTAACGTTTTAGTATTAAAAAGCTTTATTATGAGAAACATTTTAGGAGGTGACCACAAAGCAGTCACACTGTCTAGATAGAATAATTACTATTTAAAGGTACTGTTTTAGTATTAAAAACATTTATTATGAGAAACATTTTAGGAGGCGATCACAAAGCAGTCAC